GCTGCGCGCGATGTCACATCTGTTCCACCAGTTCGCCGTCTGCTCTGGCGCCGGCCTTGCAAGCGCCACAGGCGCCAATGTTCTCAGAGCATGCTTTGTGTGCCCCGTTTTCCATCTATCCACTCGGTTCTCCACGCGTACTCTTCAATCTTTTACTATCTTAACGAGACGATGTTTCACCGTGTTCATGGGGCCCTGATTGTTGCACTGTCACTAACAATGGGCAGGGTGAATTTTGGGACATGGCACGCATTCTGTTCAAGAAAGCTTCCAATGAAGCTCGTACTCATGGTGAGGCTCGTTCACGTGCCAACAAGTGGGAGACAGTCGCATCAATGCTGAGCAGGTTCTCGTTCGTCTTTTCAAGACAATGATTGCATTCATACTTATTGCGACGTAGAGATTGCTACACCATTGGCGCAACGCTCTGTCGTCGCAAGCCAAGCTGGTGTTAGTGTTTCATGCTCATGTGCGCCTGATGCATTGCACTCACTAATTGCAGTGATTACGGCCCAGAACAGTGCAACCGTGTCGTCAGCTGTGCATTTGCCAACATGCTTTTGCGCGTGCGAGGAGTGGGAGAAGACGACTCTTGCAACTGGGTCCTACCCTTACTTTACAGCAGGCGATTCAAAGTGTGAAGGAAGAGGAGCATACCGAACTCAAACAAAATGCAGGAATTTGCATACGCCCAGGTTGAGAAGATCAAATTACATGCAGGTTCACAAGATGGCCGCCAAGAACAAAACTATGGCTGACGGCCTCCCCAAAAGAACTCGGCAGGAAGCCAACATGGCCGCGGGCATCACGACTCTTGTCCTACTACATGAAATTCTGCAAGCCACCAGGATAAACCACACTGATCTGAATCGGGTGTCTGCTACAGATGCGGATCTCATCAACACTACGCCAATTTTCTTAATTGTCCAGCCCACAACCGCACGTGTTCTGCCTGTGGAAAACGGGGTCACTACCAAGCTGTATGCTGTTCATCAAATGCCAGCATGTTTCAACAGAACGAAGCTGAAGTAAAACATACTGCTCTAACAAACACAGTTACAATTCTAAACATTGATGAACGCTCCAGCCATTCTTCGCTGCTGAAGATTACTGTTTAAGTTGGTCACGTCAACATTCCTTTCTTTGTTGACACCGGTGTGTCCGTATCATTGCTTACTTTACAAGATTTCAAGAAGTACTTTTCGGGGACCAGACTACCTGACTAACGTTATTCTTCAGGACTATTCGAAGAAATGCATTTCCAACGTCTGATATTTCTCTAAAAATGCTCGGTACAATGATACCATTGCTGCTGTCACATTTTAAATGTAAAAAGAGAGTTCTTCACTTCTTGGGTGCGATGCCATTCGGAGCCTCCACATAACCATCGATGGTGCAACATTGTCCTGCTCACAAGTTTCATGTTCAGAAACCCGAAGAATTCCTGCCAATGCTCCTGCTCAATTCTATTACCTCTTACCCAAGAACTCAGACTGGTGAAAGGCTACATGCACAAAGTGAAACGCTAACCAGGTATGCAACCAGTCGCTGCAAACTTTTCAGATTGCGATTTCTACTTCGACAACAAGTCTCCGATGAACTTTCTCGTCTTGAAAAACTGGGCGTCATCGAACGAGTTTCAGCATCAGATTGGGTCCCTCCACTGATTGTGAAGAAAAAGAATGTTTTCTTAAGAACTTGTCCAGCAACTTACAGGTGCTTTTTACTTTTCAAAGCTAGATCATGCATCAGCACACCATCAGGTCAACTAGTCAGAATCAAGTAAAGACTTAACTATGTTTATAACACATGATGGCTTTTAGATTCCGTAGAGTTTGCTTTGGGCTTGCATCTGCCCCTGCTGTTTTTCAGTACATGATGTCAGACATCTTGAAAGATTGCTCTTAAGTACTGTGCTACTTAAATGACATTTTGTTCTAGGGTCGAACGCCTGATGAGCATGATGCTAATTTACAAGTTGTACTAAGACACATAAGCAACACAGGAATGAAACTGAACGACAAATGTGTCTTGCCGTCAAGCAAATTCAATATTTAGGACACAATGTCAGTGCCAGAGGATTGTCTCCTTTTCAATTGCAAACCGCATGCTATTGTATATGCACCTGCACCTGCAGATTCTAAAACCTTGCATTCATTTCTTGGTCTCGCTGGCTATTATTCAAAGTTCATTCCACATTACGCTGACGTTGTTGAACCACCGTATTCCATGTTGCGTAAAGGCCAAACATTCAATTATTCCAAAGAAGCCAATTCAGCTTTCAACGATATCAAAGAAATACTAGCTGCAAACCCAGTCACTCAACTCTTTGACGAGAAGCTATCAATAGTGATTACGACTGATGCGTCCAACATAGGATTGGGTGCCGTGTTTCAACAACTCAAAGATGACCAGGTAATCACAATTGCTTTTGCTTCGAGAACTTTGTCTCCTGCTGAATGCAGATAGTCTGCTGGTGAGCGTGAAGCTCTGGCCTGCCTCTTTGCTTGTGAGAAATGGCATGTGTATTTATGGGGTAGACATTTTACATTATGCACTTATCATTAAGCTCTTGTTACGTTACTTTCTGCTGGATCAGAGGGCTGACGCCTATTACGCGTTTCACGCTCGTGTACCGTACTGTTATGCTACAACTTCTCTGTACAGTACTGCAAGGGTTCACATATTGTTGTGGCAGATGCACTTTCTCGTTTACCTTTACAGCTTCCAGTCTGTCCAGAGCTGGAAGAAGAAATAATCTTTCTCATTACTTCTTGCATAAGCGAAGCTAATCTACAGGCCACAACTGCTGAAGATGCTACACTGAGCCATGTGCTTGCATTCATTGCTAATGGCTGGCCAGATAAGAAACCTCTGCCACCAGAAAAACTGCCCTACTTTGCAGTCAAGATTTGGGCTGTCCTGTGTAGAAAACTTAGTTTTTTGTGTAGACAGAGTCACCACTCCTACATCAATGTGCGGCAGAATTTTAATGTTCTAACAAAGTTCTGCTGAAATAGCAAATTCAGCTCGCTCAACTTGAATGCCACCCACTGAAACATGCTCTTACAAAGTACTTAGGCACGTATCGCTTTACGTCTCAAGCTACTACAGGCTTTTCACCTGCACAACCTTTGCATAATCGCCAACCACATTCTGGAATCAACATTGCAGGGTCACACCCCTAGTCTTCTGCTGCTTTGCCAATGTTAGATCCTGTGAGAACACGAGTATTCTAGAAGTAACAGGTAACTAAGCAACGCATCGATTCAAGACGTGGAGCAAAGCCTCCTAAGCTACAGGTGGGCCACAGGGTTAAGGTTCCTCTTCCAGGCAAGCATATTTAGTACAAGGGTCCATATAGAATTACTAGTCAACTTGGACTGAATTCATTCCGCCTGACTGATGGCACCGTATGGAATGCTTCAAACCTCGTACTGGTTCGTGCAGAGCAAAACTGAATTTTACAGCAGAATTCACTTCCACTGCCTAACTCTTCAATCATGCAACAGAATTACTCCCCACCTCCATGTTCTTCTGCAATGTCCCAGTTAGCGATTCATCTACAAACCACTTTACAGGCACCTTCACAAGAAACGGCTGAAGTGCCCAGCCCCAGTGCAGATTGTTTCGAAGGGCGGAAAGGTGTCTCAGGTACGAATGTGTCATGTACGGACACTCCAGAATCGCTAACACTCTCCGACGATAAGCATGTAGGTGAGCCCCAAGGCTCGAAATCTCCTGCGATGAATAACGCTCTATCGATGAATCCTTCACCGCCCCAAGCGATGCCGTGAAAAACCGGCGCGTTACAAGGATTATGTTCCTTGAGCTCACTCCTACATTCCATGTTATTAACTACTGTGCAATGTTGTTTTATTTTACAATGTTCTGCAAGATATTTTCAACGGCTATGGCAAATTCTCATGTGCCCCAAAGATTTATTGCATTTTCACTAGTCTATCTTATACATGTTACTATATGTCAAAGTTTCAGTGCCTTGCCGCTGTATAATGTTCTAAACAACTATGATTACATACTGTGGCGCTAGTTCTGTATAATTCATCTGCGTCCTCTTGTGCGAATATGCAAGAGTTTACGTCTTTTTTTCTTTCTAGGAGGAAATGATGTGGTGTCGGGCATGCCATGTCCTAAATTTAAAAAATACTAATCTTGGAGTCATGGACCTTCGATTAGTTTTGGTTTTGGGATGTGTCGTATAGCACCACACAGCAGCTATATTGTGTAACCATTACTACGTGCTGATGGGCACTCTCTCAATAAAGAGTCCCCTCCCCATTCATGGCCTAGCGTGACGTTCCTTACAGTGCTCCGGCAATAACGCGCCTATTGTCTCCGTTGGATGGTGCATCCAGCAGCGATACAACACATTCCATGATATCCAGAAATGACAGATATTTCAGCTGCATGCAAGTAGTCCTCAAAAAACATTGCTTTAATTTTTAAATTTTCTTGAAAGCCTGTTCTCGGCACTGTTTCTGGAACTGACGACGTCCGTCTATGAAACTGCTGCTCCACTTTAACACTATCGATTGGCCTCGACGTCATTAGGCTCCGTGGATAGTGCGTTTTGCTATCAAACCATCTTGTGCGACAAAAGCAGCATCGGTAATATGCATGGCATCATGACTTGCTCGGGACACAAACATTGATGGTTCAGCAGCATGATTCTTGGTCTATGGTTGCGACTCTACCACCACGAAGATCAAAATGCACATACTACTTTAAAATACCAGCAGTGCGTCCAAGAAGATAGACACAGTCAAACCCAAGACACAAGCACAGTATGGCTCGATTTTCATTAATATTGTCGGCATGAATCCAATATGCCTCAGTTGGCACAGGAGCAGAATCAATGAATTTATTTCCAGAGCGTTCATATTTAATGGAGTGATCCCTTATTGTAGCCATTACCACTTTCCTTTCAAAGGCATAAATGGTCAACAAATGCTGTTAGAATGTTAGAGAAGCACACTTACGAGGTCGCAGCTGGGGCCTTCGCGACAAATTGGTTCGGCTAATTACGTCTTCCAGGTTCACAGACGAGGTGTCCAGCTCAGCCGTGTTCTGCAATGTCATCGGCCATCATTTTCAAATTACTTTTTTTGGTGAAACACCATTCTAAGCAGACAAAAAGAAAAATGAATCCCAGAAGTTTGTTTCATTGGGCTAGTTGGTCGCCTATTGTGAAAAGTAAAAACAGCGCAAAATAGATGAGACAAACGAAGGAACACACAAGATAAGCGCTTACTAACGGATGACTGTTTTATTGCTTTAATACAGTATAAAGCAAAAAAGTGTGGGGCATAAAGTCATGTGTGTTTAATGTATAAGTGAACCATCCCTAACACTAAGCCAAGAAGAGAATAACTATCTCTTATGTTCCCCACTGCACTCTCAAAATCGTAATCTTGTTGACTTAAAGTTTCCACACATTGAAATTGCTCGTGACCACACACCTTTTCCCTTTATACTGCATTGCACCAATAAAACAGTCAGTTGTCAGACCTGCATGTTTCTTGGCTCATCTCGTCTATTTTGCGCTTTTTTTACTTTAGACACAAAATGCTCTGTCAACTCTAGTGCACATGAACCCATTTCTATATCGATCGCAGAATGAAAGAGCCATGGCTCGGTAGTGCAGGTATTGTGAATATACAAATTTTTAGCAATTTAGTAGCTCATCATGTAGTTTATGATGGTTGAAATAAGCGACACCATTGTGGTTATACTTTCCTAGTGTCAAACAAAGCTCTCACCAAGCCGGCCAGTCGTTTCTGCCGGTGAGCCAACAGCATGTCTCGAAAACGCTCCTCGGTGATTTCAGATAGAGTCAGGCACTTGCTTAGAAAACGACCCGAACCTGCGAGTTAAGAGCCATGATAGTACGACACTCTTCAAATCAAACTCAATTCTTTGGTGTTATCCCATCGCCGCGTATATCATGAGGGGAGAAAAAATCATTTAGCTTCATGTAATTCAAGTGTATCTCATTAACGACAAGTACAACTGTATTATTTATATTTGCTTTGACTGATATTAACTGACTGAAATTATTTCAGCTTAATTAGCTCTGCTTAATTGAGCTAATAGAGGTCTGCTGGTGGCTTCAAAACCTGAAGAAAAGTCAGTGTTAAGTAAGCAAATTGCAAATGCTAATGAATGTTGTAAAGCAGCAAAGGAAAGTCACTCCATTTCTAAAGGCTTGAGAAAAAGTCTCATGCAAGGAGCATCTTATAATGAGCATGTGCAAGACCAGGCTCAGGAGAGCACGGTTGTCCCATCATAAGAACCTAGCATCTAGTAAAGCACAGTTAAACCGAGCTGGTCAGTTACGTTAGGTAAGGTGAAGTGAAGTTATAAGTGTTTTATTGAAAGCACTGCTGCCATTTGACTAAAATCCTAATGAATACAAAGTACCATGCAGCCTTAGTGTGCTAGATAATGAAGAGCATATCTGATGAAGCTGCACTCATCCCAAACGAACCAAAAAAAAGTGAAAATTCTAAACACTACTGCAGATTATTGTCAGAAGTTATGTTAAGAACAAAGTCCTTCCTAATATATTCAACAATGAAGAAAAGGCTAACACAATAGAATGACCTATGGTGTAAGTCTACCCAGTGTTATTTTGACTGTGCACATAATGCATTTATACATATAGATTACCAACTAGACACATGTTCTCAAACTGCTTTTTAAACACCTTTGAAGAGACTACAATAACAATTACAGTCACACTAAACTAAATTAGAGTCAACTGCCAATATACAGGGCCCCCCAATTCTCTTTAGCCAGAGTTTAAAAATATGCAAACAAGCGCAATGACCGCGCAATCAAATGCATGTCGCTGACTGTTAGTACCTAAAAAGAGTCAAACTATTCTTTACGTTTCGATTTTTTACTTAAATAGGCCACTTTTATTACAAAACTTTATAAGCAACGAAAACAGGCCAGGAAATTCAATGACAGAAAGTTTTTTATCGGTTAACAAAACCCCTGATTAGACAGTTTTGAGTTTTATATCTGTTATTTCTAGTGTTTTTGTAACAAAGGCTTGTGACATAGAAAAAAAAATGCCACGTGAGAAGCCTGCTTGCACGCCATTGTGCACGATGAATCTAATGCTTCCAAATGTTTGGTGTACGAACGAAGATAGCATTTGCCCGCTTGTGCTGCCTCGACAGGGCTGTGACGATGATGGTGGCTTTGCGATGAACACGTTTTACTATCGGCCACAAAAGTGATAGCTGTGAATGCTTATAGCTGTCATAAACCGGTCCAAGAGAAGCGTATCATTCGCACGCAGAACGTTACGCAACACCTAGAATCATGGTACGCATAGGTGCGCCAGCGGGTTTGTCACGTGCCATTTTTTCGGATTTCACAGGAAAATGTGGCTAACAGAAAAACACCAACAAATTTAAAACTGTCTTAATTGGAGGTTTTGAAAAGTGATGAACAACTTTCTCATTGAAATTTTGGGCCTGTCTTCTTTCCTTCAAACTTAGCTAATTAACAAGGCCTAATTAAATGCACTAGGGGGTTGGCACACACAAACGGCGCATGTGTTACACGGAGTGAAGCAGTTCAATTATGCGCCATTTGTGGGATCTTGAATGAGGCGCCATGCTCTTGAAATAGACTAACCCTACACAAACACGGTGCCAATTCATTCAACTACTTTTACAAACGACGATACTACTAGACGAATCAAATATGTCACTAGTGGCACAACCTTACACAATGTTGATTGTTCCAATACACTCAACAAACATAACAAAGGCACAAAGCCATTGTCATCGTAGCTCGAGTTGCCCCGAGGGGTACGCAGGAAGCTACTTGGGGTGCTATTGCCCAAGAACCCACTCGGGAGATGGTCTTCCTGCTCGCCGCCCCAACGCCAAAGAGAGTCTCGAATCTTATCTGTGCAGCCACATAGCCTTGCCGCAAGGCGGCACTGCGGGCGCTATGTACCACTTGAATTTTACAGCATGTGAACATAAGAAAAAAAAATGAGACAGAGTAAAAAAGAGTGCTCACTTTGAAATGGTGTTTATTTGTAAAGTGGCAAAATACATATGTAAAAATAAGAATGACAAGCCTAATCGATACATTGACAGTCAAATCACACATGTGCACAGGTAATCCCACTCAAGATGTGACAACGCCAGAGTAGCCTAATTTGTGTACCTGTTCCACCAGCATTCAGGTGATCTTCCCGGCACCTGACAAGCTGCACCCCGCACCAACTCTGCTTTTTGCTCTGTTGCGCACAAGTCCTGCTACGTCTCCAGCTTAGTGGGGGGTCGTCTAATCGATCTCATTAACGAGGGAATGTCGGTCAGACTGGAAGGTGAATGCGCCCAAAATAATGTGCAGAATGAGGTGCAGAGTCACTCATTGTTGGGACTTTTCAATTAGTGCACGATTGTGGCAAGGCATAGGTTGCAGCTAAAATTATAAAAGCGAAAAAGACACACAAACTAGGCAACAGCTCTCCTTCTTTGGCACTGTCATGGCTTGAGAGTGATTACCTGTAGGACAATCGTGAGCACATGTGGTAATTTCACTGTCAATGTACGATGAGATATGGTGTTTATTGGTGCAAGGGCCATGTGATCGCCAAAGAGCCCCAGTAGATGAGACAAACGATGTGGTTAATGGGTGTGTTGACTCGCTGTATAGGGGCCTAAAATTTCTCGTGCTGGAGGTGGATAAAACATAAAGTTGTTAATATCATGAGCCCCAGTACAAGAGCCCCAGTACATGAGACAAAAGATGTGGTTAATGGGTGTGTTGACTCGCTGTATAGGGGCCTAAAATTTCTCGTGCTGCAGGTGGATAAAACATAAAGTTGTTAATATCATGAGAGTGGCATGAAATGTGTAGTGCAAAAATGAGGAACTAACGGCTGTGATAATATGGAGATATGCTAGAAAACGAATGTCTCAGTAACACCCTTCTTTCCAAGTGCCACAAGACAGGTGCTTTGTGGAATATCTAACGCAGCAGCGACCTCTTAGAACACGAATGTCTCTGTAACGCCCTTCTTTCCAAAAGCCACGACACAGGTGCTTTGTGGTGTATCTACCACAGCAGCGACCTCTCTTCACAGGTCGAGTTGCAGATTACCAAGATAGATCCCGTGAAAGTTATGAACATCTTTTAAAAATGTGACTAGTGACTGCTGTTTGAAGAGTGGATTCCTACCGATGAACATTGATAGATGAAATGTTATTTGCTCTCGGTAGGGTAATGGGGGGTGCTTTTTCTTAAAGCACTCCCTTGCTGTCTTGTTGTAGCACAGCACCTAGCCTATATCCAGACGCATCGGTCGTGATGATGACGGGAAGGTTTGGGTCAAGGAATTGTGGAACCTTGCAAGTTGTCAGCAGCAAGTTCAAACGGACAAAACTCTCTTTGGCAGCTGACGTCCAAGCAAATGGTTCGTTGCCTTGAAGCAATGCCCATAGAGGTTCCACAACATCCAGAAAATGGGGAACGAACTTGGCGTTAAATCCCGCCAAGCCAAGCAGGGAACGGAGTTCATTTATGTTTGAAGGCGCCGGAGCTTCTTTAATCGCTTGGATAGATGACGCTAGTGGAAAGAGTCTTGTGCCATTCACAACATATCCCAGGAACATAAGTTCTTTGATGTCGAAAACGCACTTCTGATTTAGTTTTAGGCCTGTTTTAGAAAGCCGCTGCAAAACGTTGCAAAGGTTCGCAAAATTGTCTTCTCGAGAACGGCCATAGACGATAATGTCGTCTATGTAAAAAAGTACACCTTTGCACCCTTTCCGTATGAGATGCATCGTTTTCTGAAACACGGACGGCGCTGAAGCCAAGCCGAAGCATACTCTTTTGAAGCGAAAAAGCCCGTCGTTCGTAATGAAAGTAGTCAGATCTCGACTTTCAGGATCGAGTTCAAGTTGATGGTGAGCAGACGACGAATCCAGCTTCGAGAATGGCTTGGCACCAGCTAAGCTGTACATCTGTCTATGGTAGTGGAAAGCTATCAACAAATATTGCTTTATTAGGCTCTCACATATTAACACACATTTGTATTGAGCCATCCTTTTTCCAAACAACCACTAAAGGAAAAACCGAATGAGAGGCATCAATGGGCTGAATTATGCCTTGAGCTTCAAGTTTCTGCAGCTCAGCCGACACCTGCTCACGTAGGATAAACGGCAGCTGTTGTAACCTTGTATTTGAATCCTTTGGTATGTCCAAGCTGTTGCTCAAATAATCCTGCCTTACATGTAGGATTATTTGCAAGGTGATCAGCTGCCCCACAACGATAACAAGCTCGAATGTTTGCGGTGCCTTGTACAGGATACCCCATTGCTTTGGCTTTGCACATAGCACATGTACCTCAATTTTTTTCGCTCTGAAGGCAGAAAGGGTTTCGCGCCTTTTTAACGTGGTGAACTGAAGTGTCATCACAAAATTCTTTAGCTTGGCTCACGGCTTGTTCGTACTGCTTAGCGAGTGTAACAGCTTGTGAGAGCGTCGGCGAGGAGTCTTCAAAAAGTAAACGCTCACGTAACTGATGATTCGTAGTCTTCGAGACGAGCTGGTCACGTAACATCTCATCAGCGAGAATTCAAAAGTCACAGTCAGCGATGAGAATTCACAAAGCAGTGACGTGTTCTTCCACTGTCTCTCCTGCATGCTGAGCACGGCGACTAAACCGTTGTCGAGCCACAGTGATGTTGACTGATGGGTTGAAAAGGTCCGAAAGCAAGGCAATTGCAGAGTCATTCGCATCGTTTATTCAGCCGGTATTACATGTACTCGAAGAGCTGGGAAGTGCAGCAGCAGCAGAGCCCGACTGCAAGTCCGCTGGCTTGAATG